CACTAGCATAACATTTGAAGGGGGAGTTGGGAGAGAGGCGTATGGGAAAGATAGACTGGGGGTCAGGAAGGAAGAAGTAAAGCTTTGTCTCTTCACAGATGACATGACCTTGGAAATAGAATATCTTAAGGAATCTGTAAAAGTTCTTCTGGTCTAAAACACAAGTTCAGCAGATTGTAGAATCTAGGATTAATATAGCTACCAATTGTATTTCTTTATGTCCCTTGGTATGAGTGATCTAGAAGTAAAATTAGAAAACCAATTTCAAGGGGCAGCCAGATGGCTCAGTGGATTAAAGTGTCTGCTTAGGCAGACTCAGGGACTGGCTTTGATCCTTGGGGAGACATGCTGACCCTGCCCCTGGATCTCCATGAGATAGTGGCTGAGACTGGGTGTGGTGGCACACACCTGTAGTCCCAGGGCTTGGGAGGCTGAAAACAGGAGGAGCGCTATGTGTCTGATCTGTGTAGTGAGACCCTGTACGAAATACATAAAATAAATAAAATACAATAAAAAGAAAACCAATTTCACTGGTAAGTGATATCACAAAGAATAAAATATTTAAGAGAATAATTTTAACAGACATAATTAAAAAATGTACAAATTTAAAAGTACAAAACTCTGGTAAGAAAATTAAAGAAGATGAAATAGATGGAAAGGCAACTTATGATCATAGATTGAAAGATGCTATGCTCAGATTACTAAGAACCCTATCCTCTATAGATTCATTGTAGTTCCTTTCAAAATCTCAACTGTTTGACATCTTGGGCCTAAAATTCCTATGAAAGATGCAAAGGGCCCAAAGTGGCCTAAACATCTGGAAGAGGAAGAACAAGGTTGGAGGACTCTCCTTTCCAGATTTTACTTACTATAGAGCTAGAGTAATGAAGACACTGCTGTATTAGCCTGAAGATAGATATCTAGCTCAGTGCAATGAAACTGAGAGTCATGAAAAACTTTACACTTATGGTCAATTGATTTTCCGCGGTTATCAAGGCAGTTCAATAGGAAAAGATAGCAATCTTTTCAACAGGACAGTTGAATATCCACAGGCAATAGAATGAAGTTGAATCTCTATTTCATACTGTATTTAAAAATTAACTCAAAATGGACCGAAGGTCTAAACGTAATAACCAGTACTATAAAATGCTTAGAACAAAACTTAAGAATAAGACTTCCTTACCCTTGAACTAGACAATGATTTGTTACATATAGTAAAAGCATACGCAAGTAAAGAGCAGTAGATGTGAGGTTTATTTATTTATTTTTATTTTAGTGGTACTGGGATGGAACCAGGATCTTCACACCTACCCGTATCTTCACTACTTTAAAAAATGTGTAATTTTGAGACAGTGTTGCCCTCAATTGATAAGTTGCTCAGCGGGGCTTGAATTTGCAATTCTTCTGCCTCAGTCTTTCAGAGTGCTGGGATTACAGCTGTGTGCTATCCTACCCAGCTGAATCACTTGGTTTTTAAATCAAATTTGTAACATTATGGGCTGGCAAGATACCTCAGTGGACTAAGCACCTGCTTCGGCAAGTGCAGGGACCAGGGTTGCTCGGAGCCCAATACTGAGACCGGCCATGGTGGTGCACGCTTGTAATCCCAGTGCTGGGGATGCTGAAAACAGGAGGCTCACTATGAGTCTGAGCTGCATAGTGGGACCTTGTGCCAAACACATCAAGAAAAACAGAAACAAAGACAATAACACATTTGTAACATTGTGCTTAAAAAAAATTAAGTAAAAAGATAACATGCAGACTGGGAGAAGATATTTATAAGAACTATTTTATTAAACAATAAAAAGACACCCCAATTTTAAAATGGGCACATACATGTCTCAAAAGAAGATATACAGAGGACAGCAGACATGTGGCAATATGCTCAACATTATTAATCAATAGTAAAATCAAAATCACAGTGAGATATCACTATGTATAGTTTAAGATGTTTGTGATAAAAAAAACATGGGCAGCAATGAAGAAGGGATGTAAAATCGTACAGCTACTTTGTAAAACTATTTGGTAGTTCCTTAAACCATTAAACATGTGACACAGAAATTCCACTCTTACCCTAGGGGATTAAGAATATAGTTAGACACAGAAACTTGTATATAAATAGAGACAGCCTAAATATTCATCAACTGATGGGTCGAAAGATAGAATGTGTTATTTCTATGTAATGAAATATTATTTGGTGACAAGATGAAATGCAGTTCTGGTGCATACTACAGCGTAAACAATTAACTTGAAAACATTGTGCTAAGTGAAAGAAACCAGGCGCCAAATAACGCATATGATATGGATGCCTTTATGTGTGGTGCTCGGGGACCACACATCCCCAAAAGCAGAAAGTAGATTGGTACTTCCGGGTACTCAGGGTGGGGCCTCTGGGGACCGACTGATTTCAGTGGACACAAGATTTCTCTGTGGAGAGCACATTGGCCAAGCAATGGCCGTGACTCATCCACATGGCTGACACTGACAAAGTTTCTACAATCTGAGGTACAGGATCTCAGGATAAATCCTGAGGGGATTTCACTGACCTTATCAGACCCAAAAGCTACAACTCTTGTTGCATAGGTCTTGATTTATCTTGGTCTTAACCATCCAGCAGAAAAGTATAAAAATGAAATATAGGAAGTAAAGCCATGCTGTTATGCTGAGCTGTAGGGGACTCAGGTCAACATTTTCTGACATTGCCAGTCAAGCAGAAGACCCAATACTATTATGGGCTACTGGACTCTTTTAGAATATTTTGCTGAGTTTATACACCTATAATATTCAAATAACAGAACTTAACAAAAAAAGGGCATACAGATGTATGTCCATTTTGTATCTGTGTATTCAAAGTGGTTAGGATAGATATATAGTTACATTCTCCTAATGAATAGAGGGATTTGTTCTAATGATGTTTGTAAATAGGATATCAAGTCCGCATCTTGTACAGCAAGTAACCACTAGGAAGAATGTATGCAATGTGTGAATTATCGAAACTGTCCTACCAATTTGATTTGAAATTATCTCATTGCTATTTGTTTATCAATAAAATAAGTGTTCTGGAATCAGATGGGGGACTAGTTGCATCCTGTGAGCACATTAACAACCACTAACTCTTAGAAGAGAGGACACGAAGGATCCTACCACCTTCCTCACTGAAAAAATCAACATGTTAATACACTGTCCCAGGGAAATGGGTCTTTTAGTTTTTGTTGTTTGTTTGCTGCCTTCCTTTTCAAAATCACATTCAAAAAATTGCTTCCTTCTCAGATTTTACTAAGGCGTGTGCGTGCGTGCGTGCGTGCGTGTGTTACTAGTGTTTGAACCCTTGCCAGTGCACTAGAGGTTGTTAGTTCTGCCAGGGAATGGTATTTCAAGCGCTGCTATTATAGAGTATCTGCATCAACACCTGATTCAAATTTAATTTGAAAAGTATGTTTTCCAAATTATTTTAAAATGGAATTGACACAGTATACACCCTAAAGTGTACAAATTGTCATGCACAGGGAATTCCATGTGTTAGCTCACTTCTAAATTACCTCATTTTGTCAATGTCTTGAGTCATGTCTTTCATACTGTTTCAGTGTATATATTCTGACATTTAGGAACTATTTCATGAAATAGGAAGATGGGTGCTATATAGTAGCTTTAAAACAAATGTTCTCTTTCATAAAGTAGAAGTGACTACACTATATTTTTAGTATAGATGATTTTTTTTTTAAATACAGTGACCAAAACAGTTCAGAAGGAGTTAGATATGGGGCATAATATGACTGAAACTTATCCATAGACTCTCAATTTAAATTATTTTTATCCCGCTGTTTCCATTTTCTGTTCACTATTATTTTGATAGAAAAATGTAAATGTGGTCCATTATAATAAATATGACACAATTCAATGCTGTTTTCACCTGCTTCATATGTTGAAGTTCTGCATAAAATATCATTAAGATTTATACAGTTTATGATCTCATGTGTGGAATCATTCGTCAGGCTGTTAGAATCAGACAGTAGAACGGAGGTTGTCAGGGGCTGGGAAGGGGACAGGCACCAGGAAGATGTCGGGGAAAGGAGGTAAATTTTTACTTGAGAGGAAGGCATTCAAGAAATTGCCTATATAAGAATGTGGTGACAGTTAATAACCATGCTTGAAAATTAAGAGAGTAGATTTAAAGTGTTTTACCTTCAAGAACAACTGTGTGAGCTAAGATCTATCAGCTCCAGTTGGCCATCCCACAGTGCATACATATAAGGTACGCAACTTTCTTTTTGTCATTTCTAAGTAAGTGAAATGAGGGGCCGGGGAGATGGCTCAGTAGAATAGTGCTTCCCTGGCAAGTGCAGGGTCTGAGTTCAATCCCCGGTTCTGCAAAAAAAAAAAAAAAAAAGAATTGAAATGATGAAAAATCTTATGCAGCTGGGATCCTGGAAACCTTGGCTGACACACTGTTTCTATTTGATTTTGGTCTCACTCTCGTTCTTTGAGGATGTTTTCATAGCCTCCCCCCATCCCAGAAATCTAGGGTGAAAGCTAAGACTTCTGGCTGAAAAAATATTTACTCGCTTTAGATAGTGCTGTCTTCCTGAGACTGTCTCTGAGACTGCCTTGCGCATTCGCGAGGCTGCCTGGTGTGGTGCTGGATATAAAAGTTAGTGGCTCTTTAACCAGTGGTATTTGGGTGGTGATCTTCATCCATGTTTTAATCTCTTTTTCCTGTGAGACAGCTGAGGTCCAACACCCTCACGTGTGGAACCTCATCAAAGGCAGGCTTGTGTACGGCATTAGATTGTCTCCCAAGATGAAATCTTTTTGGTGACATGAAGGTAGCAGACAGGACTACAGCAGGGTGATGGGAAATATGTATTATGATATGTTAGATGGGAAAAGGCAGTGAAAGAATCCAATGAAGGTATTGTCGAGTACTTAATCTGTATAGGTATATAATAGCCAGCGGACCTTGGTGTTCAGAAAGTCATGCTTGCCTTCTGTTCTACTCGTAGGTGATCATGGAGGAAGCACTTTACTGCCACCCAATGTCACTAATGAATTTCCAGAATATGGGACCATGGAGGAAGGTGGAGAAGGCCTAAGGACTTCTCTGGAGTTTGATGTGGAGTCTCTGCCATGCTGCCCACCAGGGGAGCAGGGGCTCCATCTTCTTGCTGGCCAAGACTCTGGGCTCCACTTTGTTACAGAAGGACCAAACAATACCATAGAGGCCCCCTCTCAAGGTCACCTCAAGGAGCAAAGTTTACAACCCATCGACTCTTTGATTTCAGCTCTAAAAGCCACCGAAGCCAGAATAGCTTCAGAAACATTACATAAGGCAACGAAGGTACTGGATAAAGATGCTGTTTCTGTTTTTTCAGTTCAGCAGGTGGAAAAAGAGCCAGACACTGCCAGTCATAAAACACAGAGAGCCATCACGCCGTTCCCTGCTGGCCAAGAGAAACCATCAGGTATACCTCTTGCAGAGGAAGAAATGACTGAGGAAAATTTTTATTTAAGCATCCAGAAGGATCTGACTGCCCTGTTAACTGCAGAAACTCAGCCAGATCGCTCCCAGATTCCTAACAGCAAGAAAAAGGGTGCTCGGTGTGCACGGGAGCCAGCTTGTCCTGCAGCCTCCCTGCGGAGCTCAGCAGGGACATCTCATCTTGCAGGCCATGTGGGGCTTTTGGAAGAGCAGAGATCTGACCTTGGGAGAGAGCATGCAGGGGGCTGTGATCGAGGTGGTTCCTGGGGACGTCCTGGCCGAGCCAAACATGTGGAATTTCAAGGAGTAGAGGTACTGTGGACAGGAGGAGAGAAAAAGAAGGTCCAATATTCTGCTGTAGACTCAGCGACACTGTTGGGAAGGACAGCCCTTCCTGCAAGTGGGGAGTTTCCTAGAGTGGCAGGACTTCGCGTCTCAGGGACGGACTCCTGCAGTTCAGTGAGTTTAACTGAGAGTGCTAGCACTGACACTCGGAGCGCTTCGGCAGAGAGGCCTGGCACTAGCTTAGGGCCCCTTCCCCCCGTGCCTCTTGCCGAGAGTGGAGAGGATGAAGTCTTCCTGAAAGCAAACCACCAGCCTGAGAAGAACTCTGAAGGAGACAATGCAAGGTGAGCTCCCAGAGTGGCCTGCCACTGGCCATGACTGGGACATGTTCTCGAAACCACTCTTTGGTGCTTGGTTCAAAAACTCAGCTTACAAACTGTAGTTGTTCCTTGCATTTTGCTTTTGGCGATTCCAGTAACTGGCAGAGGCTTGAGAGTAATATATGGAGAATCGAAGGAATAAATAATTCACAAGTTTTAAATCACTTATATTAGAATATATTATTATAGTTGTTCTGTTTTAGTATTATTATTATTTTTTTTTAAATTTTTATTTATTTATTTATTTGAGAGAGAGAGAGAGAGAGAGAGAGAGAGAGAGAGAGAGAGAGAGTGTGTGGCCAGCTCAGCCCACCAGGGGGCAGGCTGGCTGGCATGTGGTGCTGGGGGATTGAACCTCGGTCCCTGATGCTTTTGCTAAGCTTGTTCTAAGTAGGTGCTTTAGACCACTGAGCCATCTCTCCAGCCCCCTATTTTAGTATTATTGTTATCAATATCTAACCATACCTTGTTTAGAAGATAGTATACTTAGGGGAAAGTCTAGCATGGTATACTTAGGGTTCATTATTATCTTGGGGGTCTTCGAATATATCCCAGAGGTGAATGGAGGGACTGCTATACACTGGATCCTTGCTGTCATAGAATGGAAGAGAAGTTAGCATAAGTTTGGTCTTTCTTATGTTTTAAACTTCTACGGCAGTAAAGTGATCTTATAATAAAGTTGTCCGTTAGGCTCAGGCCAGGGTAAAGGAGTTTTGAAGAGACAGTGAATGCTGAGCTTTGTAAGTCCATTTCTGACGTTTGTCCTTTTAGCAGGTTTTGAGTTTTTCCCATCATGGGACCTACAGCTCGCTATAAGAATTGTAACAATAGGACAGCGTGTGCACTCCGTTGGCAGGTCCCGCGCTTACACCTTCACGTGGGCGTTTCTTCTGGCTGAACACTGTCTCAGTTACTCCTCTCTCGTTGCTGGCACACTCAAAATGAAGGAAGGAAAGGTTTGTTTAGCTCACAGTCACTGGAGGTTTCAGTCCACACTCAGCTGGCTCCAAGGCAGAGCAGCACGCGGCAGAGAGCAACCTTTCCTGGTGGCCGCAGAGAGCAGAGCGAGGGAGGAGTAGGAGCAGCTCACACAGCTGGCTTCTCTTCCCTCCTTACATTGTAACGCAAATTACCTGCCCCAGGGCAGGTGCAGCAACTACACCCACAGTTATCAATCACAAACTCAAGAAGCCGCCCCAAGACTGCATGTGGCTTTGGGGGGACACCTAGACACAAACCATAACACTCAGGGACTCAGAGAGGGGTATGCACGGCTGACGGCACATCCTGCTTCCGTGTGGGCTCTGGAACCCATGTGCTCCCTGGTGTGCACATGGGAGCCCCTTCTCCCCACGTGCCATGCGTCTGGGCCATGGCTGGGATGAGTCAGTGTGGTGTCAGATGAACTGTTCTGCTCTCTCCCTACGCTGCTGGTGTCGGACCAGCCTAGAGCCTGGGACAAGGAGCACTCGGCTTTGCGAGTCTGCTTCTGACGTGTGTCACATTTGGGAGGCCTGACTCCTGCTTCCTCACTCCTGGGCTGTAGTCAGACCATCAGTGTTCCTTTTGGCTAAGTCATTTGTTGTGTGTGTAATTCTGCCGGGTGGCAGGCATGAAGAGGGTCTGGAGACCCTGGCTCAGCCCACCTGGCAGGTTTTGACCCTCATCAGAGAAAAGGAGTTTCAGGACACAAGAGGCATAGAAAACATTGCTAAGCAGAGTTGAGAGTGCCGACACTCAAGGGGAGAGGTGTACGTGGCCCAGGATTGGGAATATGTGTTCTCAGAGATGTCCTTCAGCGGGATTATGGGTAGAGATAACCTTGTGTCCTGAAGTTGTGGGTTTGGTTTTAATTTTGGACTGGGATTGAACCAGGACCTTCACTAGGAGCTACGGACTTAGCCCTTTTTATTTATTTATTTTTGGCAGAACTGGGGATTGAACTCAGGCCCTTGCACTTGCCAGGCAAGCACATATTCAACTGAGCTATCTCCCCGGCCCCTAGCCCTTTTTATTTTAAGAGAAGATTTTACCAGGTCTTACCGAGTTGCAAAATTGCCCAGGCTGAACATGAACTTGCTGTCCTTCTGCTCAGACTCCCAGAGTGCTGTGCTGGGATTACAGGCGCAGGCCACCAAGCCTGCCTGATCGCCTTTCTACCCATCTTTGTTTTGCCTGCCCTGCCTCACTTGGAATTTGTACCATTTTCTTCTGGCGGTCCTCATGACAATGTGCTATGCTTTATATGAGAAATGATCTGTGTCAAAGCTGAAGACTGTCTTGCTTTTTTTTTTTTGTCCCATAGGAAGACAGGCCTTTCTTCTACAATTCCAAGACCCCTGAAATCATCAGTTTCTTCCTCCTTCCTTTGCTCCTAACATAAACCCTCCAAACTCTGCTCAAAAGCATCTTTGTTATGTGACATATGGCTATTTATAGTCCCACTGGAATATTCACTTTTGCTATTGTTTGGAGGACTAATTTGTTTCTCCATTTCCTTTTCCTTCCCTCCCTTTCTTTCCATAAATAATTTTCAGTTGTTTACTGTGCCTTTGACCCTGCTAGATGCTTGCCGTAAAGGGATATTGAAGTCGACGGGGCCCATGTGGTCACTGTCTTCTTGGAATTCCTGGGAATTCCACACCGACCACATTCATTAGTGTGGGCTCATAGATTGTGCGAGGCCCCTTGAAGGCAAAAAATAGAGACACCAGAAAGCAGAATTCAAATGGAAGGGGAAGGCTAACCCAGCTGATGGCTCGGGCGAGGCCTCTCTGTGGACAGGGCTGGAGCTGAAGTTGACAGCTGAAAAATGCATAAGAGCCAGACAGAGAACAGGAGAAAAAGGTCTGCTTGGGGATTTTCCATTTTATTCTAGGGGCAATGGGAAGCTGTTAGAAGGCAAAAATCCAGAATATTGCTGAAAACAAGATGGGCATTCAGTAATTTAAGGTAAACAGAGACAACTGCATCATTTGCATATGAATTCTGCTATACCTAGGAATTCAAATTACCTGGGATTTAGTAGCAGATAATCCTATTTCTATTTTATTCCTAGGAATTAGATGCTCAGGGAGTTAACTGAAGTTGCCTTGAGTGACGTAGCTTATCATCCTGTCAGGACTTAGCTCCAGGTTTTTTAACTCTTGGTCACTTGCTCTTATTTCTTATCTGTCTCCCGGACATTCATCTTTATATTATCCTAATACTCACTTTTAGTATTTTAAAAACATGTTGCGGATCAATTTTTCACGTCTGTGTGCCCAACTTTGCGCCCTACCCCTGTATATGAACTTGTAAGCTGTTTTTCGCTTCTCTGGATTTTGGGGAACCTTACAGTCAGGCTGTCTGTTTTAGGGTCGGGTATTTATTGGCTGTCCTCATTTTGGACCTGAATTCTGCAGTGTGGCTTCACGGTCGGCAGAGGGCAGCCCTCGGATTCTGATGTGTCACTGTCTCCAGGGCATTTGGTCTTAAATTGGAAAGTATTAGTAACTGACGAAAGTGGAGCATACTTTTACTGAAAGGTTACTGTGTCAGGTTTACGGGATGTGTTTATCGGCTTCTTTTAGAATTTTTTTTTTCCTGAGGATTGAATCTGAACCTTCTCAGTGAGCTACCTTCCCAGCCCTTATTTTGAGACAAGTTCATGCTAAGTAAGTTGCCAAGATACCCACACTGGGCTAGGACTTGTGATCCTCCCGCCTCAGCTCCCCAGAGTACTGGATTACAAGTGTGCACACTGGACTGCTTTTGCTCTAATTAAGAATGATGGTAGTGGGCCGGCCAGATAGCTCAGCCGATTACAAAAAGCTCAGTGGATTAAAGCGCCTGCTTAGGCAGATGCAGGGACCAGGGGTTTGATCCCCCCTTTGCTGTGCCAGCCCTGCCCCCCAGGGCACGCTGAGACAGCAACTGAGACTGGGTGTGGTGGTGTGTGCCTGTAATCTCAGCTCTTGGGAGGCTGAAAACAGGAAGAAGTCTGATCTGTATAGTGAGACCCTGTAGACCCTGTACTAAGTACATTAAAAAAAAATGATGGTAGTTATATGTAACCTGAGTTTGTGGAACATAGCTGATTCAAACGAGAAGTTAATATTTTATTCTAATATTATCCATTGGGCTAGATGTATTTGCATACTAGAAAACTAGATTGAAACTTTATGCTAAGAAGGTTTTCAAACCACATGAATTTCATATCACCGCAAATAGGTTAAAATATAATCTTAGTGAATGCGTGACACTTACAGGACATAATCCTTCTTAAGTAGTCGAAGGGGAAAAATAAAGAGAAAAAAACAATATCAATATTAAATTTTTTCTCTCTTAATTTCTTTCCAGACTCCTGGAGGAAGAAGACCACCTTAGGGGAGGAGAGGATGATATTCTTGGGACCGGATATACAGAGGACTCCACCGATGTGTACAGCTCCCAGTTTGAGACCATTTTGGACAACACATCTTTATACTACAGTGCAGAGTCATTGGAGACCTTATACTCAGAGCCTGATAGCTACTTTAGCTTTGAGATGCCCCTTACTCCAATGATACAACAGCGCATCAAAGAAGGGGGCCAGTTCTTAGAAAGGACTTCCGCAAGAGGACATCAGGACATCCTGAGTGTCTCATCGGATGGAGGCATAGTGATGGGCTATTCGAGTGGGATCACCAATGGACTGAATGATGCCGGTGACTCCTTCTACTCCAGAGGCTCTCCGGAGATTGCCTACTGGGGAAGGTACCACTTCCATTCCTATCGGTTATAGGGTGGTGGTTTTTGTAGCGTTCTCTCTTTGGGAAATCTGAGTGTGGAATATATTTATCACTTGGCCAGTTCTATGGATATAAGCAAAGGATGTGAGTCAGAAGTCACTTGGGCTTTCAGGGCAGGCAGAGTTTGCCTCAGTGGTTGCTAGATTGGCGAGCTGTAGGGGTTCTATGCATTAGTAGTTCCTGGCTTGCTTTGTATGAATGGATGCTGAACAAATACTGTAGGTGATGAGCACCTTCATGGCACGGGTGTATTCTGGTAAAAGAACTTAATTCTGGTACTGACATTGGTTGACAAGGTGGAACAGGTTATGTGATTGGTCCAGGGACTCCTTAGTTAGAAACTGAGGATGCTGCACTCACAGGTCACCAAGTCTGTCTGAGTCTTTCTCCTGAGGGCCTTCCTCTGTCTGGCTGTCTTATTATTGGAGAGGAAAGATCTGATATGAATGTCTGATAAAGCCAACACTTTGGCAAGGCTACAAATATTTATTTTTTTTCTAAGATTTAAATCTCTCTGGGAGATAAAGTGACAGTCACATGAATCGCACACGCCATACCTGTCATTTAGTGATTCCTCGTGGATGTGTGGGTTATGTAGTGCTTCACTTTTCCGTGCCTGTCTGCTTCAGCTCGTCAGCCTGTCATTTAGCATCTCCATCAGAGAGCAGAGAGCGCTGAACTTTGTAAGCTTCATGATTTTAGTCTGATAGATTTTTCTTGTGTGCATGCATGTGTGTGTGCATGTGTGTGTGTATTTGCATGTGTGTGTCTGTGTGTGTGGGGAAAGAAAGGTCACAGGGGATAAACTATTTTAAACTGTCTGAAAAAAAGTCAGTGCTTCCTTTTAAAGTCAATGTTCATATTACAGGTTTCCAGTAATCCTTTCTTAAACAATGTACCCCATGTATAATAAGCAGTTTATAGGTCCAGTGTATGGGCAAATTCAAGACTGGTACATTATACCGTTGTCAGCCTGTATTTCCACGCTGGGTGGTGCAGTGGGTTGTGGCTATTAGTTGTCTTACTGGTTCACAGAGAGATAATACAAAGAACACAGGGTCTCAGAGGCCCAGGACTTTGGTCTGAATTACGAGGACAAGATTCTTGTTCTGGCAGAAAGGTGATTATTTATTTGCAAAACGGGAATAGTGATTCACAGCGTGCTCTGTGGCAGAGTGACTTAAAGGGCTGTTACATAGTTGGCAGTAGGGGGCACAGGGCTCGGTATTAAAGTCAGAGGATATGGAGCGGCTGTTTGGATCTGAACTGGTTGGTAGGCAAGTGCAGGGAGAGATTTCCTGCATTTCTGTGAGGGGTATGTCCATGAGGTGGCCCTGAGGGGAAGTGTCTGTCTGGGGACACCCCTGAGACTGGAGTGTGCCACATCAGTCCTTTTGCTTCATCATCGTTCCTGGTGACTGTAAATGGTCATAAAATGCTATAGAACAAATTTGCAAATCATTTAGTTGCAAGTCCAACCTGACTCTCTGAGGTGAGTGGAAGTTGTTTATACCACAAACCAAAACAGGTTGGGGCACTGAGGTGGTTTGGGCTGAGAGGTTTGACTCAGAACCCGCAGGCAGTGTGTCAGGGAAGAAAAGAGGCGAGTCCTCTCCACTCCTAAGACTGAACATGGGAGGCAGGAGATGAAGGCTTTGCTAGGTGTCTGGCTTGTGCAGCTGGTTTGGGAAGTGGTTGGCACTTGGGCTACCCAGGTGCCACACGTTAGTGTGGATAGTCATGGGGAGAGAACATTGGAGCAGATCAGGATTTTAGTACCTCAGATGCACCTGCCTCTTTTGTATGCTCAGACTAGATCGTGTCTAGTGGTAAAAATCCAAATCCTAGTGCTAGATGAGAACTGTTTTAGAGATGAGCCAACGTGGTGTCTGTCCCAGCCCTGGCCTCCTCTTGCATACAGGCTTTCTGCCTGGTGGTCCTTCCACACTTCCGTGACCAGTGCCTGTGATGTAGACAGCCCAGCTGTCCACAGGGTGCCTGGCTTTGTGTCCTGTGAACTCAGAAGTGGTTACAGGTGAAGGAAGTTTTATTTTATCATGTATGTATATATTGTATATATTTTATGACGTATAGTTAAGGTACAAGAAAGGAAGTGAAAGGTTTGATAATTACGAAGTTTTAAAGAACTAGAAAACTTTTATATATTTTTCTTTAGCCCTTTCTGTTTTCTTTAGTGCTTTGGAGAAGGTGTACTACCAGATGCACTGTGTTGCTATTATGGTTTGAAGAAGTATGACATTTTATAGCTTGAAAGGAGCCTTAGATCATTTTATAGTAAAGTCCCTGTGTCCCACCTTGAGAATTATCTAAAGCCACATGACCTTCCAGTGACAGATTCTTACTCAGATTTAACTTACCTGACTCCTACTGCCTGGTATTTTATATTAATATTCTTTCTTTTGATCTGGTTTCTTTCACACTATAGAAGAAGTCTTAGTTGATCTGTTTCCCAGAAAGCAAATTCTAAATGTAAAGCTGTTGTTGTGTTTTTTAATATTTATTTATTTTTTGTGGCTGCAGGGATCAAACTCAGGACCTTGCACTTGCGAGGCAGGCACTAATACTGCTGCACTATATCCCTGGAGTGTTTTTGAGTTTTTAAGAAATTATTTACTTATTTATTTGGTATAGGGTCTGCTACACAGCTTGGACTCATAGCGATCCTTCTGCCTCAGTCTTCCCAGTGCTAAGATTATAGGCTTGCGTCACCATGCTTGGTTTGGGTGGCTGGCTCCACGCAGGGCTCAGCATGGCATGTGGTATCAGAGATCAAACTCGGGTCTTTGCGCTTGCTGAGAAGGGTCTTACACCGCCAAGCTCTACCCCCAGCCCTGGTTGTTGTTGATGTTGATGGTAGTGCTTGTGTGTTGTCATTATTGATACTGAGGACAACTTTAAAACTTCTTCCAAATTAAAATATCCTTCTGCAGAGATAAGTAGATAAACCGAGAGGTGTTGAGCTTCCGAGGTTATCAGGAAGTCCAGTGATTGCTGACTGCACAAGTCGACGTAATTGACTTCCCTCGGCCATCCACGGAGCGCCAGCTAGAAGCCAAAGAAGGGAAGGTTTTCCAGTTTCATTAGAAAAGATGACTTTTGATAATTAAAAGGAGTGCATATGCCCAGCGTTTGCTCTGTGCTCACCGCCTCTCCAGGTCCCTCAGCCCCAGGCTGGGGGTCTGACCACATTGTCTAAAGGGAGCTCTGCGGACATCACAGAGGGTGGTTGGGTGAGAGTGACTTCTCTGATAATGCCCCTTGATATTGTGTATCAATGGAGGAAAATAGGGCTGGCCAGATGGCTCAGTGGACTAAAGCACCTGCTAAGGCAGAGCGCAGCGGCTGGGGTTTGATCCCCGGCTTGCCATGCCAGCTCTGCCCCCTGGGTGTGCTGAGATGGAAATTGAGATTGGGAGTGGTGGTGTGCGCCTATAATCCCAGTGCTTGGGAGGTTGGAAACAGGAGGATCAATACAAGTCTGATCTGTGTAGTGAGATCCTGTAGACACTGTATATCCTGTTCTAAATACATTTTAAAAATTTCAGGAAATTAGCCTGTCCCTATTCAGGTATTGATTTTAATGCATAAAGTCTTAGTATTAGCTACTACAAAATATTACAAGATTACTTTTGCTAGTCTCTAAAATACTTTATTATATGTAGCCCATAGATTTTATTTATTTTATAAAGATATAATATTTATGTCTCATAAGAAGCTAGGAGAAAGAATGGAATGGTTAATGTTCTTATTTTTCAGGCAAGGAATCAGAGCTCAGAGAGGTTAAGTAACTTCCTTAAAGCACTTGAGCCCAGCTCCAGAGCCTGTGCTCTTACTGAGCTGTGGTGAATTGGATCCATAAATTACGTGGATAGCGATCATGATTCCTGATAGATCCTGTAACATATTTTGAACAAAACAGAGATGTGTACCACCATGCCTAGATTTGGTGACCAACTTGGTGCAGGGTCTGCATGAGATGTAGTACTGGGGATTGAACTCCTGTCCTTGTGCTTTCCAGGCAGGCTCTTAGACCATTGAGCTATCTCCCCAACCCCTGCTTAGATATATTTTTAAATCCTTTTCTATTTTAATACGTGTCTTTGCTCTGTCATTAAAGTTAATGTCATTGGCAGTATTTGATAGTGATTTCTTCTGAGCAGAGACTGACATTATCTCTATGACTCTATGTCTTTAAAGAAAGGTGGAAGTAGTTGGAAGGGGTGCCGAGGATGTCACAGCAAGTTAGCACGCCTTCACCCCTCTCCCAGGGTACCTTCCTGCCTTCGGCTGCTCTCCCTGCACATGTCTAAGAGCAGTCCACAGCATCTGTCATATTCTAGTACCTGCTTGAGAAGCGTAGATGTGTTTTGGAGTACTTACCCCACTATTTATCTTTTGAAGTATTATTTGCTGCTCAAGAGGAAAACCCTCTCAGAGAACTGGTGGACATTGCTCAATCAAGGCGAACACTCTAAAGAAAATAAGTATTATGAGTTTTTGTGTTAGCAGATAGCTCACACTTTATACAAGAGAGAAAGCCTCTCAAAATCCTTGAGACAGTGTGGCCAAGAATAGTTAAATTCTCCCAGGTGCTCTGTCAGCGTGGACTGAGAGGTGCCTGTCAGCCAGGCAAAAGCTCACTCTGCCATGCAACACAATATTTTAATGAAGGACTCAAGAGTAGCATCCCCTCCCGCTGTGGTCCAGCGCCACACACTCATGCTGGTGGGGTCAGCGGTGCTGTGTGGAGTCCGGTCACATGGCTCCAAAATTAGAAAGGATAATTAGAGACTTACAGTTACACATGTTCCAATGGGTTCCTTTGTGTCTGGGTGCTTGTCTCTCGCCGGCCTATCAGCTGATGATCCCAACTCCAATCAGTAAGTTTAGCCTGAAGACCACAGGCGCAGAGCCAGCTTTGTGACCCTGACTAGAGCAGAGCAG